TGGCATTGATACATTAGATCAATTCATAACAGTCGATCTCAAAATATTTTGGGATTAATCTTTAGAGGTTGGTTGTATTATCTCATGCAAGATTCCTTATTTGGAGAAATATAATGTATGTATGTGCTTGTGAAGACATTGGTTTAAAGACGACAATGCAACCCATGCCTTGACCCTCCCAAGCGGTCCTACTCCATTAATATATACAATGAGAAGACTCCATTTCTTCTTATCCAGCAAAACCCACCCCACCAATGTTTTTTCCGGGCACTCTCTTCTTCTCCATCTCGATCATAATAGCTAGCACAAAAATAATTAAAGGGTACCTACGGTCATGTCAGTGGTTTGGAGCAGGGAAGAAGAAAAGGCCTTTGAGAATGCGATCGCGATTCACTGGGTTGAGGATTCAAAGGAGCACTGGGACACGATTGCTTCGGTTGTTCCCAGCAGAACAGTTGAAGAGTTGAAACGGCACTATGAATTGCTGGTCGAGGATGTTTGCGATATTGAGGCCGGCCGCGTTCCGCTCCCCACTTATAGTTATCGTGCTCAACACCAATCCGCCACTTCTCATACTGTTGCCCGTTCTGGCGGTGGCGGAGCCGCCCACGACTCCGCCAAAGGCGCCTCCCGCTCCGACCAAGAACGTCGTAAAGGGATTCCATGGACTGAAGAAGAGCACAGGTATATATGTTCCTTTCTTCCCGAATTTTTTTTGGACGATTTCCTTAAATTAATTGTGTATTTAATTTAATTTATGAGCTACTTACTTGTAATGAGTGGGTTTGGTTCATAACGCTAGTGGTGGGCTTTCAAAAAAAAAAAAAAAACGCTAGTGGTGGGCTCCGAACCGATTGTGTTGTGGCAGCCTCCGACGAATCAGCTATGGATGTTCCTCCAATTATAGAAAAAGTAAAAGGTTAACACCATCAATTATTAATGGTATCCCTCTCACTAACATTAGGTTGTGATTATTAAGAAAAAACGTGTTTATATAATTGAGTAGGTAAAATAAGAATAAAATAAAAAATTATTTGAACTAATTTTTTTTTATATCAAATATCGTAGTACGTAGCCCATCCTAATGGAACGGAAGTAGAAAAAAAATAGGACACTTTTAGCGGCACAAATGAAGTGCGTAGTAATACAAAATCCAAAATGGAAAATGTGTGAAACTATAATATGCAAAGTCTTGTTAGGATATTTTATTTTGAACTGAACTTTGCTCGTCTGATTCACAAAAGCTCTGGACGAGAAAAGAATTCAGTTCCTGGTTTCTAAATTGGGAATGCTGAATTATGTTTTTAATCAGCTTTCAAGTGTAGGGGAGTAATTTAATTTACTTGTTGTGTTAGTTAATTTAGTTTATTTTTTATTGAGTCAGTTTCCTGGTCATTAATTTTTTCCCTAAAGTGTGCATACATTTAGGGGGAGCAAAATTAGTCTGGTCTGTTTAAGTGTGATCTAGTTTGAATTAGTCTGGTCTAGTAAATGTCTATCAAAAGTTCTTCAAAAATCAAAATACTCCAACCATACCTGCTCGAACTGAAATAAAAACAAGTACTACGAATGGAAAAATAATACGAAAATAAAAACTTTCCCCAAATTGCCTCTTCGCACGGAGGTGATTCCGGAGGAGGGCGAGCTGTTGTAGTACGGTAGAAGAGAATTTCAACCCCCGGAAAATTCGTCTGAAACCCTATCCTTCTTGCGCTCGCCAATTTGCTCTTTGAGATTTGCCATTGAAATCCATGTCCGAGGTGCAGAAGAAAAATCTATCAAGTTGCCTTGTGTTTCTTCACTCCCAAAAACCCAAACCGCACCCCACCGCTCTTGCATTCCATGAAAAACCCAGCCGCACGAACGAAGCATGATCTGCGGGAAAAAAAACCCTAACTAGTGTATGGAAGACGGCCGCTCCTCGAAAGAATCGATAGCGGAGAAGAAAACCCTAGCTGCGGAAATTCCGCCCTAGAGAGAGGAGATCTCGATTGTCGTGTATAATAATTTCTTAAAGCCCTGAATAGCCCATGGCTGCGGCGACAATTCGGAGAGACCAAGCAACAATCATTCTTTTACTCTTTTTTTTTGGCGCAATTAAAACTAGCTTGTATTAATCAAATCATGGTTTAATGAAAACAAAATACAATCAGGAGGAGAATCAACCCAAATATTGCAATCAGTCAAAGAACCCGCAGCTTTAGCAAGTGTATGAGCTACGTGATTCGCTGATCGCTTCACGTGATTAAAAGTAATATCATTAAAGGTATTAGCTAATTCTCGAATGTCCTCCGCGAGAACTCCAGCAGAAGAATCATCACAGCAACCTTTGATTAAATTAATCACTTGTAGTGCATCCGACTCGAGATCCAAACGATCCCATCCCGCTGACTTCAACCAACTGAAGCAGCGTCTTCTTTTACTCTTAAAAAGTGTATTCATAATTAATAAAATTAATAAAAGTGTCGTCATGTTTGATCTTATTTGATCTTTACATATGTGCAAGATGGTTTCTTTACATAGGAGTTTCTTTATATTTACTTAAATAGGAGTGAAGTATTGTCAGTTTAAAATAAAATTATCATACTCCGTATTATATATACTTCTAGATTTCAATAGTATGTGAGAATTAAAAATACTCAGTAGTTAATTGGCGATCGATTCAATTCTTGTGTATAACCTTTCTCTAAAATGTAACTTAGGTAATCTCATTTCATATTCATACATTTTTTAGTAATAGTGAACATTATACAAAATTAATATTTTGGAAAATTCACATTAGTAGAATTTAAGGATAATTTGTGCATAATAATTTGATTAGGTATATTAGTAGAAAATCATGGTCAAAGTAAGGTGTGTGAAAAGTGTAAAAAAATCAAAGTGTTGCAACTGTTAAGGAACGGAGGAAGTATATTACAAATAAAGTTAAAGAAAAGTTTAGGAATGTGAAAAAAACTAAAGTAAACTCTTCCGTCAAACTTACTTATTTTGATTATCACACAATTCAACATACTAAATCAAAAGTTCAATGTTTGGTTGAAAATTGTATGATAAGAAAATAATTATGTAAGGAAATAAATTTCCCTTTTGATTTCTAGGAATACCTTTCTTACTGAGAGTAAGTTTTACTGTGAATTACATGTTATGTTTTGACAATGTTTAACAATGTTTGGCTTCTTATTTTGACTTGGTTTAGAAATATCGACAATAAGAAAGAATGAACTTGGCACGAGTATTATTATTATATTCCGTACATATCAATTAAAATGGTTACATCAACATTTGTCCCACTGATTTTGGTGATTTATCTATTGAGAATAAAAAAAAGTCATATGTATGTGATTCAAGGTTTCTTATATTTTACAAATTTAGTACCCCGAATAAAAAAATAATTTTATTTCCTAAATCTGTGCAGCACATCTCCTCCTGAACTTAATGGGCAGAGGGAGTAATTAATTTCACATTAATCAATGAGTAACCATATATATGACATCAGGGTGAATACTTCCATTGTCTGAAAATAAAAGGCTAAAGAGTCAAGAACTTTCTTAAAAAGTGGAAATACACCCATTGTATAGGAGGCTCTGTCCGGCCGTTGCCAATTGGAGCAGTTCCCGATGGAATTTTTTATGAAACTTTTTGAGCATCTTCTTCATTAAGTCTAGTTTACTCATACCAAATTTCAGCTAAAAATTCAACCGGGAAGGCAGTCAAATGAATTTTTGAAGATAACTGCGCAGTTAAACAGTGCAGTACATTTCAGAAAATCATTTGAGTGCCTTCCCGGTGGAATTTTTAGCTGAAATTTGGTATGGGTAAAGTGCTAAACTAGACTTAATGAAGAAGATGCTAAAAAAAATCATCAAAAAATTCCACCGAGAACCGGCTCAATTGGCGACGGCCGGACAGAGCCTCATATATAAGGGATGATTTGCACTTTTTAAGAAAGTAGATATAAAACTTGTCATTGCTTTTGATAGAAGGTAGAAATAAAATATAAAAACGAATATGTGCAGGTTATTTCTGCTTGGTTTGGACAAGTTTGGGAAGGGAGATTGGAGAAGCATTTCCAGGAATTATGTGGTTTCCAGGACGCCAACGCAAGTTGCTAGTCACGCGCAGAAGTACTTCATCCGTTTAAACTCAATGAATAGAGACAGGAGGAGAAGCAGCATACATGACATTACCAGCGTAAGCGGCAGCGGCGACGCATCGCCTCACCAACCACCGCCCATCACCGGCCAGAACCCCAACACCACCTCCCACGGGATGGGCATGTATGGAACGCCCGTAGGTCATCCCGTGGCCGCTCTGCCCGGTCACATTGCTTCTGCGGTTGGGACTCCGGTCATGCTTCCCAGCCATGCCCATCCTCCTTATGTTCTACCGGTGGCATATCCGATCGGGCCGCCGCCCAATATACACCAAAAATAAACGTATTCATCTCTTTCATTCAAAATATACATGACCCCCCTAGCTCTCATATGGGCGGATGATCGACCTGCTTCTCACTCAATTTGGGAGGCCAGTCTTAAGTTTGTGCAACTACTGCCTCTAAGGTGTGTTTAACTTAAATTTAATTTTCCTAGTTCTGCAACCAGATGGACAATTTTGTAAGTACATATCGAGTAAGTGTTCTACTTGTTAATTAAGAGGTACTTATAACTGTAAAAGTACATACATAGCACAAGAATATTACGTAGTAACATACATCAGTTTTCTATTGAAATTAAGTTCCATCGTTAATTATTGCTTGGAGAGTTGGAGTTGCATAAAACTTATCATTCCATTTTATATCCTTGTATTACTTGAGTTTTGCTACAAAGTTTTATACGGAGTATTATTCAAAGATACATTTAGATTTAGCATGGTGAGTTTCAACAAATAAAGAAAAGAGTTGTTATTTTACTATACCATTCTTCTAAAAGGAAGAAAAATAGAAGAAAAAAATATCTTCATGCATGTGACTAAAACAACATAAATTTCTCAAATGTATGACTCTATTAGTTATTATTTCCAATATATTGTTCGTGGATGTATGCATTCACCCCATATAGTAAGTCTTTTATTCACCCTATTTAACCCTAAAAATTTGGAGAAGAATTATGACTATCACATAATTCTCACATTTTCTACTCACTATTACTTCACATTAAATAGCATTATTTATTATCCGGAGTATACATGGTAATACAGAGGCAGACATTCTCTCGAAATTGGGGAACGATGCACTGGACGATCAGGCCCGGAGGGAGATTTTGGGAACACCAGCCACCCTGGTGCTCCAGGTGGATGCAGTATCCTTCGCCGAACCAGATTGGGTTACTGAGCTGGCAAACTACATATGGGATTGAACTCTCCCGGTAATTACGAACCCGGTCCATGCCAACAAGCTGAACTTGATAAAGAGGAAGGCCCCGAAATTTGAACTTGTGGATGGACAACTTTACAAGAAGACGTTCGGGGGACCTTATTTGAAGTGCCTCCCGCTCGGCCTAGCAGAGGCAGACATGGAGGGAATCCATGAAGGAATTTGTTCGAGCCACCAGGGCCCGAAAACATTGGAAAGGAAGATCATCTTGCAGAGATATTATTGGCCGATCATCCAGCAGGACTGTTTCCATCATACAAGGAAATGCAAGATCTGTCAACAATATGCTCTGGTGCCCGGACGGCCCGCCAGCTTCTATACACCAATGACCACAGCCATGTTGTTCACTAGGTGGGGATCGACTTGCTAGCGTCCCCACCTACGGCGTCCGGGGGAAGGAAGTACATTATTGTGGGGATAGATTATTTCACCAAATGGGTGGAGGCCCGAGGCCGAACCCTTGACTAGCATTACAGAGTTTCAGTGTAAGCGATTTGTCTGGCAAAACAGTATTGAAGTACAGACTCGGCGGACAGAATTTGAGGAACGCCTCGGGCCTGCCACTCTCTTGGAATATATCGAGCTTGATTCCCCCCCCCCCCCACCCCCCCACCCCGAACGAAAGGTAGAGATTGGGATGAACCTTGAGAAGGAAATACGGGAGGGGGTAATTGCGGCCCTGAAAAGGTTCTAGGTTCTATTTGCTCAGGGACCTGAAGACATGCCCGGGATTGACCCACAGCTGATCTGTCACAAGTTGGCCGTTCGGCTTGATGCCAAACCCGTACAACAAAAGAAACAGTATCAGGCGATCGAACGGCGGGAGTTCACAAAGCAGGAGGTAGCCATGCTGCTAAAGATAAGGCACATTAAGCCAGTCATACATGTGGAATGGCTGGCTAATGTGGTCCTTGCACCAAAGGGGTCCACTTGGAGAATGTGTGTGGACTATACTGACCTGAACAAGGCATGTCCCATGGACCCTTACCCTGTGCCGAGGATTGATATGTTGGTGGATGAAACAGCAGGCTGCGAGCTGTTGAGCTTCATGGACGCTTTCAGGGGATATCACCAAATCTTCATGCACCCGGATGATGCGAAGAAAACTGCATTCGTCACCTCAGACGGCGTATTCTGTTACATAGTCATGTCGTTCGGGTTGAAAAATGCAATGGCTACATTTCAGAGGATGATTGAGATGCTCTTCAAAGAGGTGCTTGGGGTGACCATGGAAGCTTATGTGGATGATATCATGATCAAGAGCAGGAAAAAGGAGGACCATGTGCAGGACATAGAAAATTTTTTCGAAATCATGCAGAAATCGAACATGAGGCTGAACCCCAAGAAGTGTGCCTTTGCAGTCAAGGGAGGCAAGTTCTTGGGGTACATGATGAGCGTGCGGGGAATTAAGCCAAATCCAGAAAAGGTTAAAGCAATCATGGACATGCAGGTACCCAGGAATTTAAAAGAGGTTCAGAGGCTGGCTGGGAGGTTGGCCGCCCTGAGCAGATTCCTTGCCAAGCTGGCTGATCGGGCAATTCCATTTTTCCAAATAATGAAGAAAGCCAACCCGTTCGAATGGACAACAGTGTCAAGCTGCTTTTGAATATTTTAAGCTTTATTTATCCCCCCCTGGTCCTGACAAAAGCGGATCCAGGGGAACATCTGTACATGTATCTACTCGTGGCTCATCTTGCAGTCAGCTCGGTATTAATAAAAGAAGATGAGGGTGTCCAGCGCCCGATTTATTTCGTGAGTAAAGCCCTAAACGGGCCTGAAACCAGGTACACTCTGATGGAGAAGACCATCCTAGCCCTGATCGCGGCTATCAAACGACTAGCACCCTATTTTCAAGCACCTCCAGTCACCATCTACACAACCCAGCCACTTGCCACTATACTAAGGAACCCAATGGCGAGCGGGCGCATAACCAAATGGTCCTTCCTGATCGGGCAACATTAAGTGGATTTTAAACCTCGCCCTACTATCAAGGGTCAGGCTTTACCAGATTTCATTGTTGAATGTACTGCTCGGCCAACAGAGGAAGGCTCGAACAGGGAAGCATTGGACAATTGGTGAGAGTTGTATGTACATGGGGCTTCCAGTGCCAAAGGTTGTGGCGGGGGAGCTGTAATCACATCCCCCGAAGGGTTTAAAGCATATTATTCTATACACTTTGAATTCAAGGTAACTAACAATGAGGCCGAATATGAGGCCCTTATTGCAGGTTTGTAATATGCTAAGGCCCTGGTGCTGACCGGCTGAAGGTACGGTCAGATAGCCAGCTGGTAGTAAGCCAAGTGAACGGGTCCGCAGTGGCCAGAGAAGAAAGATTGAAGGCTTACAAGGAGCTGGTCGAGGAGCAAATTAACAAGTTTAAACAAGTGGTCCTCGACCAGGTCTCCAGGATAGAAAATGCTGAGGCAGATATCCTGTCAAAACTGGAGCATGCTGCTTTGGATGAGCGGACTCGAGGCATTCCCGCACATATCCAGAAGTTTGCGCACCGAGAGGTACTAACCACGCAGCAACAATGATCCTTCGGGTAGATGCTATCTCATATGCAGTGCCGAGTTGGGTCACAGACATGATCAATTACCTGAAGGACGGGACACTGCCGAATGATAAAAATGATGTTTACAACTTGACAAGCATCCAAAGGAGAGCCCCAATGTTTGAGCTGGTGGACGGACAGTTATACAAAAAGACGTTGGGGGGCCTTATCTAAGATGTCTCCCGCCCGACATAGCAGTCACTGTGATGGAAGAAATCCATGAAGGAATATGTTCTAGCCACCAAGGGCCAAAGACTCTGACCAGGAAGATCATTTTGCAAGGATACTACTGGCCGACCATCCAGCAAGACTGTTTTGCGCACACCAGAAAGTGCAAAATCTGCCAACTCTATGCACCGGTTCCCGGACGGCCTGCATCATTCTACACCCCAATGACTATTGCTTAACCATTCGCTAGGTGGGGGGTTGACTTGCTAGGGCCCCTACCCACAGCTTCAGGGGAGAGGAAGTATATCATTGTGGGGATTGACTACTTCACCAAATGGGTAGAAGCCGAACCACTGGCCAACATCACAGATTTCTAGTGCCAACGTTTTGTTTGGCAAAACATTATTTGCAGGTTTGGGCTTCCCGAGCAGGTCGTCACTGACAACAGAAGACAGTTCGTGAGCAGGAACTTTGAAGATTTCCTCATCAAGTGGGGAATTAAACACTCCAGAGCCTCTGTGACATACCCCCAGGCGAACAGCCAAGTGGAAAACATGAACTGAACCATCATGGATGGTATGAAAAAGAAGCTAGAAGACTATGTCTCCACCTGGCCCGAACAGCTGAATTACATCCTGTGGACCTACCGGACAACACCCCGAACGGCCACCGGAGAGACGTCATTCGCCCTTGCCTATGGATTCCAGGCCAAAGTACCAACTGAAGTCTTGGTACCCACACACCGGACAGTCCATTATGATCCTGAACGGAATGAGGACAACTTGCGTGCTGAACTCCATTTTATAGAAGAAAGAAGGGACCTTGCAGTCCTGCGAATGGAGGAATATCACCGAGCAACCAAGAGATACTTTGACAAACAGGTCAAAATCCGTTCAATCCAAGTAGGAGACTTGGTCCTGAAGAAAAGAGAAAAGAGCAAACCGCTGGAACGCGGGAAGATGACAAAAAATTGGGAAGGCCCCTACCGGGTAGAGAAGAAATATGCCACCAGGACATTCTGCCTTCAGACTACCGAAGGCCGATCGGCAGGAGCATGGAATGTTGAACTTCTAAGGAAGTTTTATCAATAAAAACGGTTGTTGACACCTCTTGAAAAAAAATGTGTACATGAGATACATAAAGAGGGAGAGTTGTACTTCCACAAAAGGCCAAAAGTTGGATAAACCAGGTCAGAAGAGCCGAGCGGCAATATCACAACCATGGCCAGAAGCCTCACCTCGATCAAGCACTGTTGGCAATTATTCTGGAATAACAAATGAGAACCACCATCTTCATCTGGAGGGAGCCACCATTTCAGCTAGGACTTGACCTTGTGCTCTGGATGACCGAGCAGGGGATCCAAGCCAGTTTAGGAGATGGTGTAAAACTACGAGTAGGACAAACCGGGCGACATTCGATGACACGGGTGACTGAGCGGCGAGTCGGGACTCTGGTTTTTTAAATCTTGTCTCAGTCTATAGCTTCGACGAACCACGACGAAAGGAAATCGTTATGGTGGAATTTGAGCTATAACTTGGAGGTAAGTCTCCAATTTAGCTTGAAGCACAAAAATGACCCGTACAGGAGATTTTGTGTTTAGTTTGAAAATGGACATCTCAAACCCTTAATATGGATGGCCCGGAACGGCAGAACCGAACGGGTTGCATCGGAATTATGGGTTTGGAAGATGGCAGGCATTAACTAAGTAATTCACCAAAACTTATTTAATGATCTGCACGATCGGTGAATCAATCTCGAACGAAGAATATGTCTTTATTCTTCGGCACTACCGGCCGGGAAATACAAAAGAATGAAGGAATAAACAAAGTAAAAAGACAAAAAGCTATGCTGCGGGAGGATCCTCATTTGGAGATGCACTAGATTTGGAATTTGAAGGCTCGGCAGAATCTTTTGCCTTTTGCCTTTTCTCCATCACCCGCTTGTAAGCCCGGCAGAACAGCTCATCGAAGTCCTCCTCTTCAGGATCGAATGGCTGAGGAAAATGCACATTGATCACCTCGAGGTTCCGATCAACGATCATGTCCTGGCACTTGACAAGAATGTCCCGAGCCATGGCATTGGCAAATGCTTTTCCAGCCGCTGACGAGTCCAGGAGTTTCAGGCCATCGACCAAGGGGTTCTCACATTTCTCCAAAAATTCCCCCAGGTGTTTCCCAAGGAACTCCCGAGCGGTATTCTCCAGAGCGATGCTCAACCCTTTGCCCCGTTGGAAGTCAAACACCGCTTGTTGGGTGATCTTGGAAGCATCGGCCGAATAGGGAGCGAGATACCTCTCTCCCTCTTTGGGCTGGCTCTTCTTGAATTTTAGACCAGCAGCCTCAGCGGCTTCCACCTTGGCCCTAAGAGCCCTTATCTCCTGGTCGCGATGCTGAAGTCTTTTCTCCAGCTCCGCCAGCTCAGCCCTGGCCTTATCTCCCTTGTTGGCCCGATCCTGAAGATCTGCGGTCATCTTGCGAGCAGCAGCCAGAAGAGTCTGACTATTGTCCCGCTCCTGAGCAAGAAGCGTCATCTCCCGCTCAGCGGCCAAGAAAGCCATGTGGTAGTAAGTCCCGACCTGAACACGAAGTAAGAAAAGTGAGACGATGAAAGAAAGAGGAGCAAAAAACTAAGAGAATTTGAAAATTCACAATGTACGCACCTTGATGCTTTCCAGATGACCTGCTTCGACCAGATCGGACCAATGAGCTAAATTGGTAAAGTTCTCACCGGCCTTCAGGGAAGTGCTGCACCACATAGATGATGCAGTCTGCCCGAACAGTGTGAGACCCTCGGCACGAGGGCCCATGGCAGAGAATTCCACGGTCAGCCGGCTACTGACCGAGGTATCAGCAAGAGCAGGATCACCTTCCTTTCCAGGAGTAGAACCCATCTTCGGGCGAGGAGGAAGAGCAGACTGCATGGTTTCCAATTCAGGGGCCGTTAAGTCAATAACGTGGTCGATTAGGACCAGCTGACCACCACTCTCAATCCGTGAACGCTTCCTGGCGTGTTCGGTAGCCTGGCCAGCGGAGGAACCTTGCTGAGGAACCAACTTCCCAGCAGCCACAATCACCTTTCCTTCACCCCTACCAGCAAGAACAGTTGAGGAAGGGGTAAGAGCAGGACGTTTCGAAGAAGCAGGAGGGATTACACCTGTAAAAAGTGGTGAACAAGAATCAGCAAAAGAAAAAAAACACTCATACCGAATGGACTCAACAAGTATGAAATTTACTGATGCCAGCGGCAAAAAACTTGGCATGCGTGAGGTAGGAACGGAGGTTCTTTGAGCCCTCCAGATGAAACCTGTCATACTGACATTGCAACGTGGCAATGGTGGCATTCAAGACAGGAATCGAGTCCTGAACCGGATAAGTATTCCACCGGTCAGGAAACGGGAGGGGTTCCTCCACACAAACAAAGAGAAACTAGTGGGCCGCCGATTCTGAATAGTTGGGCCCGGGTAGCTACCAGGTCTGGTCCAGGTCCGGGCTGGGCCTCGGGCCGCTTTATATTTTTTTTTTTGCTTTTTCTAATTAACCCCCGACCCCCCCCCAATCACCCCCCACCCCAACCCCCCCCCCCCCCCAAAACACCCAGCCCAACCCATTGGAATAAAAAAAATGAAAAAAAAATTGATTTTGGCCCATCCGGGCCGGGTCTCATTTTGGCAACACCGTGCCCGGAACCATCTCCCCCTCGAGCCGGGTCAAAGCCCGGTACCCGGACTAGTGAACCGGGCCGGTCCCGGGCCCACACGGTAGCGGGCCGGTCCTGAGCCCGCACGGTAGCGGGCCGGGCCGGTTCAAGAGCCGGGTATGATAATGGTGGACTCTCGGGATGATCCTTAGGGAAGCAATCACTTTGCATGTAGAACAAACCACATTGTTTGGCTAGATGTGTAATTTATTTTACTGTTTGAACCAGCCCGAACCACCGGCCCGACCAGGGACCGGTCCGAGTAGGCCCAACCTGCTGGGGTTTTGGGCCGGGCTCAGGCCCCTCAAAAGGTAAACCGGCCTGGCCGGTTCGGGCCCGGTCTGGGCCAATTTTTTTTTATTTTTTTTTTGAATTTTTTTTTAAGTTTTTGGGTTGGGCTGGGTATTTTGGGCCATTTGAGATGGTTTGGACTTTGGGGTGGTTTGGGGGTGGGGGGGGGTGGGGTAATTAGGAAAAGCCAAAAAAATATAAATTGAACTGAGCCTGGCCCGGCCCGGCCAGGACCCGAGGGTTACCCAGGCCGATTCTGGGCCTCCCCTTTCATGAACTGAGGCCCGGCTGGGCCCGGGCTCGAACCCGAACCGGCCCGAGTCCACCCCTAGTTACAATGCTTCATAAAAAGCATGCAAAGTATTTCATTACCCCCTAAATAAAATACTTTACATGATACAATGTGAAATGTTTTAAAAGTGCCCTACATTTCACATTAAGGGGTGTTTGGACATACTTCTGAAAACTGCTTCGACTTCTTCAGGAACGAGAAGCAGATATTGAAGTGTTTGAGTGAAAGTGCAGAACTACTTTTGAGTGCTTTAAATTGCTCTTAGAAACATTTTTTTAGAAGCTAGGAGAGACCAACTTCTGAAAAACTGATTCTGATTCTACTTATGCTTCTTTTTTAAAAGCAGAATCAACTCCAAACACCCCCTAAATAATCAAACCAAACAATGTAAATCTTTTACGTTCTTGCACTTAGCATGCAAAGTAATGGTTTTACATCCTACCAAACACCCTCATACTTTTCCCAACGTATCTACCAGCAAATCCTCTTACTTTTCCCAACGTATCAACCATCTTAACTACACCAGCAAATCCACTCAAAATCCGTTAAAACCCAACAAGAGCAAACGAGTGAACCGGATTGGAGTATTCTTCTTTTGTATTACTATAGTTCCTAGTGCTTCTTCACATTTTTATTGTTCTAAAGTAAAACCGATTGCAAACATGTGGCTCTTTTCCATGTTTTTAACACAAAAACTTATGCCCAGGAAAAACATTGATTCAAATATACAATTTCCTAACTTTCCTATTCAAGTTCTTGCATTTTCTAAGGGTCATACGGAGCCTGAGAGCCCTAATAATACAAGATCACATGGCAGAGTATATTTGGAGCTTTCTTCAAATCCTGATGTAGACCTAATTTTATTCATGTAGTCTCACACAAGTGGCAGTGTAAATAAGGGTTAATATGGGGCTAAAAAGTAGTTCAAGAAACATGTACCGGTTGTAGGTGTACAGTAGTAGACTTGTCAGTACCATTCCCCAATAATGTGGAGGAGCAAGGGATGCACTAAACGTGATTTCTAATGACTTGGATGATTACCTAACATGCAATTGCAAAGTACAATCTAAACTGTGCAACGACACAATATGCATGTCAAAAAGGAGAGTCGAGTGATGGATGGTTAGGCGGCAGTGATGGATCATTGAAGCATCACCAACAGTTTGCAAAAAGTGATCCTAAGCTACTTGAAATCCTAAATTGGTGCCAGGGTAAACCCGACAATAATTACAAAAAAACCATGGATGACATGTATGGATGGATCAACAGGAATACTCAGCAGAACTTGGACTTCAAAAGAACTCGCTTGGTTAATAAGCGATAGAGAAACCACTTCCGTCCAAATCTCCACCAGACTGGTACCACCGTCCGACACCTTTTTTTGGTCAGTTTTCCTGGACCCATTGTCAACCATGGTTCAGAATAATATGCAAAGTTTCTAAGAAAGAATAATTAGATGCAAGAGAAGAAAAATGTTAGTGGTGGTGGCATGTAAATTTAGTGCTCTTTAGGTATGTGGAAACCCTAGTAGTATTGGGCTTAGCCCATTTGTATAGGAAACCCTAGTACTCTAAATATAGCTATAAATATAGCTTCTTGTATAGTATTTTATCATCAAGTATATGAAATATAATAATACTTGTTCACATGGTATCAAAGCCTATACGGCAAATATAGTTAGCTAGTTAGTGTTATAAACTGCCGCTCCGAATCCGGACAGAAATCCAGGCCATAATTTCCGGCGTGAATAGTGGTCGCAACTCACTTGAGTGCTTTTGGTAGTGATACAAGCCTACCATCGTGCTCAGCTCTACATAGCGACTTACCGCCGGAAGTTTCGCCGCCGCTGCCTCACCCACGCGCCGCCAGCCGTCGCTGAAAGTCCGCACCTGCAGGTACACATCTTTGCAGATCTGCTCCGTCTTAGTCGTCTGGGAGCGACACCGACAGTTTTTTCAGAAACCTAGGTCCCTGACGACCTAGACCAGTCAGTCCGGTCCGCCGCCGCTCCCACACGCGCCGCCGCTTCCACACGCGCCGCTCATATCGGTTGTCGCCGTCTCTCTGGCCGCTCGCCGCTGCTCTGGCCGCTCGCCGCTGCTCTGGCCGCTCGCCGCTGCTCTGGCCGGTGCTCTACCTATTTGACGGAATACCAGGCAGTTTCTTCCGCTGCTTCACTGCTCTCTGGATTGCTCTCTGGTCTGCTCTCTTGGTCAACACAGTCCAGCAGTCCAGGGAAGGTCTTTGTCAACCCACTCCAGCTGGATTACTTTTGTTTTTCTATTATTGGCAAACTGCTGAAGTTCTACTGAAGCGTTGATCCCCTCGACAGGTTTTAATTTTTATCTCCCGTTTGTTTGCTAATTTTAGCTTTTCATTCCTTTTATAAAACAAAAAAAAAAAAAAAAAAAAAACAAAAAGAAAAAAAAAACAGAGAGAGAGAGAGAAAAAAAAACAGTACAAAAAAAAAAAAAAATGTCTTTTATGAGTTCTGACAGAGGAAACAACACCGGATACTCAAGATGGAATCGTCCTAAATGTGATTTTTGCCATAAAATCGGTCATACTAAAGACAGGTGTTGGAAATTACATGGGAGACCACCTCCCTCAGCCCATGTTGCTCAGCTCCCACCATCTCCCATTGTTCTATCACCAGAGGAATATGCAGCATATCAGCAATTTAAGGTGACTAATATGCCTTTATCCACACCTGATGTGTCTACTGCTTGTGTTTCAAACACAACAGGCTCATGGATCATTGACTCAGGTGCCTCAGATCATATTTCTGGTAATCCCTATCTTTTATCCAATATAACCAAGCAGCGACATCTTCCTTTGATTACTCTTGCTAATGGCCTTCAAACTTCGGCTTCGGGTATTGGGCAAGCACTTCCATTTTCATCCTTACCATTAGACTCCGTCTTATATGTCCCTAACACCCCTTTTAACCTTGTCTCTGTCAGTAAAATTACACGTGCTCTTAATTGTTCCGTAACATTTTCTGCTGATTCTGTGATTGTGCAGGACCGTTGTACGGGGAAAACGATTGGCGTCGGACATGAATCTCAAGGTCTGTATCACCTCCATCCTCTTGATCCAATCGCTTGTGTTTCAGTTGAACCTGCTCTTACCTTACACAATCGTCTGGGTCATCCTAGCCTCTCCAAGTTTCAACGTATGGTTCCAGGTTTCTCAAATCTTTCATCTTTAGATTGTGAGTCATGTCACCTTGGAAAACAACCTCGTAAATCCTTTCCAAGGCGAGTAAATAAACGGGCTACATCACCGTTTGATTTAGTTCATACAGATGTATGGGGTCCGTATCGGGTCACTTCTACTTTAGGTTTCCGTTACTTTGTTATTTTTGTGGATGATTTTTCCCGTTACACGTGGTTGTTCTTAATGAAGGAGCGTTCTGAATTGTTTCATATTTTTCAAACTTTTTGTGCTGAAATTCAAACTCAGTTCGGTCATTCTATCAAAATTTTACGCAGTGACAATGCTAAAGAATTTTTTGGGGCATCCTTTAATCAATTCATGACATCACGGGGTATGCTTCACCAATCATCTTGTGTTCACACGCCTCAACAAAATGGGGTTGCTGAACGCAAGAACCGACACTTGGTTGATACTGCCCGTACCTTATTATTACATTCTCATACACCGCCTCAGTATTGGGCAGATGCTGTGCTCACTGCGTGTCATTTAATTAATAGAATGCCTTCCTCAGTTCTTAATAATGAAATTCCCTATTCTATTTTGTTTCCTGCTCGTGATTTATTTCCATTACCACCCCATGTGTTTGGGTGTGTGTGTTTTGTCCATGATACGACACCTGGATTACCTAAAATGTCGGCTAGGTCAATAAAATGTA